AGAGAGAGAGAGAGAGAGAGAGAGAGAGAGAGAGAGTGCTCCAACACCGTTGAAACAGAAGCTCCTGCTGTTAAGGTGCAGGTGCAGGAGAAGATGGGGTTCTGGAGTGCACAAGAGACAGCACCTTCAAGCAGGCACAGAGCCTGGGACTGCAGTACCTGCTCTCCGCCCCAGGCGCGCTGAGTTGGCAATTGAGACTGGGCGTGGTGGAGCACGCCTGTAATCCCGGCTCTTGGGAGACTGTAATCAAGCGGATCGCTATGAGTCTGGTCTAGTAGTGAGCCCCTGAACACCCTGTAGACCCTCCCCCCCACCCGGACAAAAAAAGTGATGCAGTTTGTGTATGCGGTGGGAGCACTGCGGAGAGGCTGAATCAATTTTGATTACAGGTAGCACTAAAGAAACTCTTCACCATCAAACCTTGTAACCTGCTCTGGCGAGTTCCAGTAACACACTGTGTTCATGCCAATTCCACAGCGGACCCCACAGAACACCTGGCCGTAGAGCCTCAGGCTTTCTCTGTTGGGGCTGGAGCTGGAGGGAACAGAGTTGCACGCCCGGAGTGTGTGTGTGTGTGTGTGGGGGGGGGGGTTGTATCTCCTCTGCGCCCCGCCTCTGCTTTGTGCCCTTTCCAGAAAACCTGCAGTTCCCTCCCGGGTCCAGCACACCAGCTCCCACCGGGTCCCTGTCTCCTGTACCGCTCCACCTTCCTACCCTCACTATAGCACTCATTCCCCCTCCATAGACAGTGGCCCGCGCCATCCGGGTCGCCGCTGCCCACGTGGCCACCCCTAAGATTGTGGATCCTTCGTGGCTGCCAGAGTAGCGTCCAGTGCAGGTGCGAAGTGGAGCCCCACTTTCCCACGCCCCAAGTATGCACTTGTCTGGAGAGCGCGGGGATCCCGCCAGCAGGCGGAGAAGCGCCTATCTTCCGGTGGGGTCAGCGGGTCCGCCTGCTGGGGAACCCTTGCTGACGTCACGGGCTTCTCCGGTTCCCGGTGCCGGCGCCGGGTCTGACACCGCTGCGTCGCTCCTCCGCGCTCCCACGCGCGCCAGCCTCTCAGGCCCTGCCTGGTGGGAGCGGGTGAGTCTCACTCCGCCCTCCTCTGAAGGAACCAACCGCGAGCCAGGCCCGCTGAAGTCCCGCGCGAAGGGCATAAAACCCGCGCCAGAAACAGCGCCCGGCTTGGCTGGGGTTTCTGTACTGAGGGTGACACCAGTCCCTTCTGACTGCACCTTCAGGCACGCTCTGGGGAATCGTCTCGCTACTTCCGGAAAAGTGGAGAGGAAGCAAATTCGGGGTGGACTTGGGAGGGGCGGCAGCTGCCCTAGCTCTTGCTCCTCTCCAGAAGCTGCGCTGCGCGGGTGTCCTGCGACACCCTGTCTCTCCCCCTTCCACCCCCACCCTCCCGCCCCTTTTCGTCTTCTCTCCTGGCTTCCCCTGTCCGCTCTAGGATTTGGGACCTCAGCTCCATTTCCTCCCTCCTTGTTTCACTTTCTCCTCACCTGTCTGTCCCTGTCCTTCTGAAGGACTTCCACCTGTTTTCAAGCATTTTTCTTTCTTGATCTCCTTCCTCTCCTCACAAAGCTTTTCTTTCACCACTGCATTTCATCCATCAAAACCCTCCACTTGCATCCATACCCTCCCGCTGTCCTTCTTCCTCTCCTTCCATCCCAGCAAACCTTGACCATGGATTCTGAGCCTTCTTGGGCTACCATCCCTACCCCACAGGGCACCCTCTCCACCCTCAATGCCACCACACCCTGGCTTGGCCGAGATGAAGAGCTGGCCAAGGTGGAAATTGGCATCCTGGCTGCTGTCCTGGTGCTGGCCTCAGCGGGCAACCTAACTGTGCTGCTGATCGTGGGCCTGCTGGGTCGAAAGCGCTCCCGCATGCACCTGTTCATGCTGCACCTGGCACTGACTGACCTGGGAGTGGCACTCTTCCAGGTGCTGCCCCAGCTGCTCTGGGACATCACCTACCGCTTCCAGGGCCCCGACCTCCTCTGCCGGGCCATCAAATACCTGCAGGTGCTCAGCATGTTTGCCTCCACCTACATGCTGCTGGCCATGACCCTGGACCGATACCTGGCCGTCTGTCACCCGCTGCGCAGCCTCCAGCAGCCCAGCCAGTCCGCCTACCCACTCATTGCTGTTCCGTGGCTGCTAGCCGCCGTCCTCAGCCTCCCTCAAGTCTTTATTTTTTCCTTGCGGGAGGTAATCCAGGGCTCAGGAGTGCTGGATTGCTGGGCTGACTTCTACTTCCCCTGGGGGCCACGGGCCTACATCACCTGGACTACCATGGCCATCTTTGTCCTGCCTGTGGCCATGCTCACAGCCTGCTACAGCCTTATCTGCCATGAGATCTGTAAGAACCTAAAAGTCAAGACAAAGGCCAGGAGGGTGGAAAGAAGTGGCTGGAGGACTTGGGACACACCCTCAGCTTCAGGCCCAGCTGCAGCCACTCAGGGGCTGCCGGCCCAAGTCAGCAGCACCAGCACCATCTCTCGGGCCAAGATTCGTACAGTGAAGATGACCTTTGTCATTGTGCTGGCCTACATCGCTTGCTGGGCGCCCTTCTTCAGTGTCCAGATGTGGTCTGTGTGGGACAGGAATGCCCCAGATGAAGGCAAGTATGTGGTCTATGTGGGGGTGAAGGGGTGAAAAGGTCCAGGGAAGAGAGGAGTCAGGGTTATGGTAGGCAGGAAGCTATACTACCTCCCACAGTGACAAATGAGCAAAGCAATTAAGAAAATTGGTGCTTACTTGTCTTAGTTCATTTTCTGTTGCTATAACAGAATGTCAAAAACTGAGTAATTTCTAAAGAAAAAAATTTACTTTTTACTGATCTGGAGAGTGGAAAATCCAAGGTTAAGGGGGTGCAGCTGGCCAGGGCCTTACATTAATTTGGGGGGACAGATGTTCTATTCATTTATTTATATATTTATTTTGTGGTATTGGGGGGTTGAACTCAGGACTCTGTGCTTGCCAGCCAAGTGCTCATTCTACTGAGCTATCTCCCTGGCCCTGGGGAACAAACTCAAACCACGGCACTGTCCCATGTGAAAAGGGAGTTACAACCTTTGTGTAGTCCACCACTGCCATGTATCCTTATGTGAAGTTTCCCTATTTTTCAATTTTAGCGATCTGCTTAACAATTTTAAAATACTGTGTGACGTTAGTGCAGTGAAAGTTTTGCCCAAGCCACTTCTCATTTGCTCGGAAGTTAATTTTGAATCTAAGAATGACAGAACTAAGAGGGATTTGAAAAATGATCTGGCCCAGGAGACAGCCTGTGGCCCAGGAACTGACTCTCTAGGCACTTCCCTTCTACACCAGGACATGACTTTGAGTTCTTCCTCAACGGTCACTCGCTACCAACTAGTCCCCTTCATTATATCAGTGGGGAAACAGGCTCAGAGAGGAGCCACGACTTGCCCAGGGCCACACTCGTGGGGAGTGGCAACATGAAGAGTAGAGCCCAAGTCTCAGGTCTCCTTCTCAGAACCTTGGTTCTAAAAGTGGCTCTCCAAGGAGAGAGGTCTCCCTATGACCTGATAAACGGGAGACTCCCAGAAGGCTGAGGTCCAGTTGGCACACGAGGGACCTCGCATTTTGGGGGGTTGAGGCGCACAGCAGCTCCTGAGCCTCAGACACTGCCTGGTAGTTGGGCGACTGGAGGTGACTTGTTCTTAGGAAGGCTCAGGGCAGTTTGGGCAGCCAACACCATGCAGAGTGGTCTTTACAAGCATCTGTTCCTGCTGCCCACAAACAGGAGTGGAACATAGGAAAAGTGGACAAGGATCTGTCACTGAAGTGGCATAGAGTAGGAGAACCTGCTTTGGCAGGCATCTCATCATGTGTACAGCCCAAGACGTCTATGCAGTGGGAGTATAGAGTGTGTGCAGCCTGCACCTGCCTTAGGGAAAGCCTGTCGGGTTTTCCTGCCTAGAAGCGTCCCAGGTGAAGCTACCAATTCCTACCTGCCTGTAGGGAGCTGTCCCCTCCCTTTGCTCTTTTTCTTTTTTTTTTTCTGTCTCAGGATGCTTTAAGGGCAGATCTGGTAAGGCATGAGGATCTGGGAATCGAACCACAGTATCCTGTGGCTGACTGCCTTCGATTAAGCAGGCACTTAAACAACTGAGCTAATGGGCAGGCCCCCTGCATTTTTGTTTTTAGGATTATTTTGTTTTTGGTGCCAGGGACTGAACCCAGGCCTTTAGCTTGCTAGGCAATCATTCTACCACTGAGCTAAATCCCTAGTCCCTACATTTTTGTTTTTAAATAATTTTGTTCATCCTACAACACATTCAAGCCAAACTCTTTACTTTTCTGGAAAGATGAAGGATTTATAATCATGTAGGAAAAAAGCAAAAACAATGCCCAATTAGGATGGTCCCATTGTGGCTCTTCTTAACTACCCTTTTGATATCAATTTGGACAAGAGGCTATTTGCAAATTATCTTGTAAGCAATAAGCATACTAAATCCAATAAAATACATGGGGCCTTGGCATATGGGATGTCCCCTTGCCAAGCATATTTTGTCCTTGTGTTTTCAGGAGGTGGCCTTCTCTATTGTACAGCTGAGTACTCAGGCTCAGGGAGGCAAAACAACTGGTCCAAAATGCCACTGCTATTAGCAGAGGGAGTCAGGTCTTGAACTGAAGTGTTTATGGGCCCACCTTATCCACAGTATAGCTTTACTCCCAACAGTCACTGCTTAGCCAGTGGCACCAGGGGTGAGGGGTTCTTTACCCCTTTGTTGAGGAGCCCATGAACAAATAAGGACCTTGAAGTTCAGCCAGGGTAGGCTTTGCTGCTTGCCCACAGCGTCCACCACAAGCCAGTCCCCAGTGCCTCATCCACATCATGATTTTCCACTTGCCAATAACATCTCTGAGCAAAAATCACAGGGACAAAGCTTTATCCTACAGACAATAGTTTCTCTCAGAAAAATAAGAGCAGTGTGGGCTGAAATTCACTACTTTAAACTTACTTTTAGGTATACTAAGTTCTCTTCCATAGCATGCTGGCCCCCTGGCCTTTTGGCTCCAAGTCTTTGGTTTGAGTCTTGAGTCCATGTCCTTGTCATAGCTCTGTGCCCACTGCCAGTTGAGCTTCTGCCTGGACTAGGCATGGCTGATTTGCCCCCACCCCCAGGACTGAGAAGCAGAGCCCCTATGGGTGCTGCTGCTTCCTGGTGGGTTCCTCCAGCCTCTACACTGGTCCTGGCTCAGAAGGCCAAAACAATGACTGCTTCCTAAGCCAAGAGTGTTGTTCATCCAACCCAGGTGCCTTCACCTTTCCACATCTGTGGCTTATGCCTCTTACCTTATGCCTTTCCTTCTCTTGGACCACAGGTGACATATGTTACACACATCCATGGGGCATCCACACGAGGAATGGCTTACTTGAAGCTTCGACAGTACTCCACAGCATGGGCACACAGGCTGTGCCTTTCTCTTTGAGTTAGGGCTCTCTACGGGATCTCTGTCTTGGAAGACCTGGATACAGAAAGCAGTTCTTGTTCACTGTGCTATAACAAGTTTCCTTTGAGCTCTGAAATTGCTGTCTGTGATTCTGCAGCCCCCTCTGTATAGCACAGCAACTCAGTAAGCCACCAAGCCAGAGCTGTAACCAGGATGATCCAGCAGGAGGCTGGGGCCCATCCTAGCAGCCTTTCTGTTGGCATGAGGGGTTTCACTTCATCTTCAGAAAGAATATTGTGTCTGGAAGGAATCTTATCAGAGTTCTGACTGCCCAAGAGAGAAATTAGATTTTCCCTGCAAGAGGTACAGTCCACATCTGAGGATATAGGACAGTGCTGGCCTGGAGTGGGACATTCAGATGCCCTGTGCAGAGAATTCGTCCTTCTGCATCACTTAGAGATGATAGTGTGGGAACCTGCAGAGGAGTCATACTCTACCGATTGCCTCCTAGGTCCCCAGTCTGGGGCTACAGCCCTGACCCAGTGCTGACCCTTGTTCAGGGACTGAGTGACAGGATGAGGTGGGTTTCCCCAAAGATGGGGGAGGACACAATCCAGAAGGCATTATGAAGCCATGCCCCATGAATAGGTGGGGACAGGGGTAGAAGGGGTCTGACCTTGGGTACTTTCCCTGAGTGTTGTATAGGCATGTCTCACCCTTGGTTCATATCTGCTAGGGGAATCCATGGTCTAGGTTCTAGAATGCAACCAGTTTCTCCCATGTGGGCTGGTGCTAGACCTGACAATGTGTAACTTAAATTCAACTGGAACAACTTTATGCTCTTACCCTCCCTTTGTAGTTACAAAATAAAAACAAACCAAAAAAATCAGTAGGGTGAAACTCTAGAGTCAGGGTCCCAGGTTCAAGCCACAGCTGCAGTCCTCTTTGATTCTAAGTGAAGCCCTTTGCCTCTCTGGGACTTGGTGTCCTCACCTGTCCTGTGAGGGCTGACCTCTCTCTCAGGTCCCTTCTCGCTGTCATCCCATGGTTTCCTGCGCTTCTCTCTTGTCAGATTCCACGAATGTGGCTTTCACCATCTCCATGCTTCTGGGCAACCTCAGCAGCTGCTGCAACCCCTGGATCTACATGGGTTTCAATAGCCAACTGCTGCCGCGGTCCCTGCGCAGCCTGACCTGCTGCAGAGGGGCCCGGCCCCAGCTGCACCGACAGCTCTCCAATGGCAGCCTATCCAGCCGCCGTACCACGCTGTTCACCCGCTCCAGCTGCCCACCCAGCCTGAGCCTCAGCCTTGGCAGGAGGCTGGGGCCTGTGGAGTCACTGAAGGACTTAGAGCAGGAAGATGGCGAAGCCACCACTGAGACCAGCACCCTTTAGAGAGGACTCCGTGGATTCTGGGTCTGCCCCATGGTGAGAGGAAGTCTCACGCATACTGGGCACAGATGTGAGGGCTGGGAGGTCAGTGCTGGCCTCAGAGGAGCCTAGTTTGAGACAGAAGGTGAGGCCCCAGTTCGTATCCTTAATTTTGATGCCACAACTGCTCCTAGGGGGAATTTAACAGCCTACGTCCCTGCTCCTGCTATATTCACAGGGTGCCTGAGAACACATCCACTTGGTAGCTGTGGTGGCCAGATTGTAGGCAGGCTTGGGACAGCACTTGGATTACCCCAGATCAGTTTTCAGGCTGCTTGTTTCAATTTTAGCCTGACCAGCATATCCCAGCCCCATCAGGAGAGGGAAGAAATGAAAAACTGTGAGGACTCTGGATGGTGGGTGGGGTGGAGTGAGCCTAGGACCTTCACCCTGAGCAATATTCCTAGTCCTTTTTTTTTTTTTTTCCTTTGAGAGAGTTTCATTAAGTTGCTAAATTTCCTAGACTGAGTTTAAACTTGGAATCCCTTTGACCTTGGCCTCTTGGAGCTCTGGGATCACAAGCACGGACACCCCACCTACGAAGGAGGAATGCTTAATGGGGAAAGGGGGCTTCACCTGCTGTCCGTGGAAGGGAGATGCAGGACTTGGCCCAGCACCCAGTACCCACTGGGAACTCTGCAAACATCAGTTCTTCTGCCATCCACCCCATCACAGGATGGGTAGCAGGGGTAGGTATTTGCTGTCCACACTGTTACTGCCACTGAGGATAGGTGTGGGAGGAAAGGGGTAGAAATGGTCACCAGACATTAAGAGCAGGGATGAGCGTGGAGGCAGCAAGGGCTGGTCACCCTCCCTCCTGGCACCAATGGGCCAGAACTGCTCTTTCCCCTGGGGCTACTAGAGGGAAAAGACAGCCTTGAGGAGTGACATGAGCCTGGCTCAGGGTGTCTCCAAGGCTCTGGAGTTTCCAGTGTAAATCAAATGAACTTTGGGATTAGGATTGGGATTGGGCAGGAGCCCAGGACTGCACCTCCGCTCTGCCTTGGGAAGTTACGTCTCGCCTCTGGGACTCACTGGCCTCACCAGTGGGATGGGTATGGTGGTGTCCAAGGCCTTTCCCTTGGAGCTCTTAGCTCTAGTTTTCTATGATTTTGCATAATGAAAAAAATCATATTCCAGTAGATAAACCCAAAAGGTATTCTGGCCAACAGGCTCGGAAAGATTGTTGAATTTTTGTAACAATGACATTTATGCCCTTTCACTCAGTCCTGTGGCTGAAGGGCCTGCATGGCCCTGCTGTCCACTTCTACTGTTCCGCATGGCCAGGAGGAACAGTGAGCTCTCATCATCTCCAGGGGCACTTGAGCCGTGGGGTGGTTTCCCTACCCTGCTCTGGCTCTATGAGGCAGCCTGGGTGGTAGGCCGAGCATCAGCCAAAAGGCCAGGAGGGCTGGCTCATCCTAGGGAGGATCAAGAAGAACTGTGCGTGGAAATGTGGCCTGCAGCCCCTCAAGCTCTATCCAGTGCACATAATTGTTAGCATAACCAAGAGTGCCTGAGGACCAGGTTTCCCCTCTGTCCTCTCCCAGGGAAGCCTTGAAGACTGCCAGGGGCTTTGCAGATGCCCTTCTTTACAAGGCTGCTCAGTTCTCAGAAGCCCTCTTGGGCTTCCTTAAAAGAAAAAAGACTGAATGGAGTGTTGTGAGTGAGCAAAACACTCAGAGCCTTCAGTGCTTGAGAACCAGAGCATGGGACACAGTCCCAAGGCTCAAGACAGACAGGACCCAGTCTCCTCTCAGTGGGCTCTGTTGCCCAAGGCAGCACCCAACCCCCAGCCACTTCACCTCTGCCCACTGATAGGCGGAGCTGGGCTCAGGAGGCTCCTCAGACTGTCAGGCAGGAGCAGCTCCTTCTGCATACGTAAGCTTCCCCTTCTTGCCCCTTCCTCACCCCCACCCCATCTTTGGACCACAGTTCCTGGCCCCAGTGCCTTTGGTAGGTAGGTCCTAAGTGAATATCTATTCATTGTGGTGACTGGCAGGTAGAAAGGACACCAGCTGTGCTCCCTACAGACTGGAGTTTGCACCTTTTCTGCTTGTGTGGACTGAGCAAGTTATCCAGTCTCTCTGAGCAGCACTGCCCTCTTTTGTTAACTAGAAGTAGCAGTGCCACTTGGTTGGAGGGATTTATAACTCAGGCTATAGAACCCTCTACTGACATCAGAGGGGGACAGCAATGGCCTGGCTCTAGATTATGTCTGGTGGGCGGCTTCCAAGGCCTTAGTTTATAGTTGAGAGAGCAAAAGTCCAGGTCTAAGATCAAGACTGACCAAAGCTCCTTTCTTGTCTACTCTTTTCCTTCTGTAGCACCCTATCTTACTGCTATTGTATTCTCTGTTTTGCACTGCACAGGGGAATTTACTTGTGCAGGGGCTTTAGGGGCCCCAGGACTCCTCCCACATAGGGACTGTACTTGCCCCTTTTCAGAAAGCCAGTTCTGTCCTATGGTGTGTCCAAGGGCAAGCAGCTAGACACTGGGCTTCTGGTCTCAGGAGCTTCTTCTGGGAAGTTCGACGAAGCAATGTTGGATTTTGTTTGGATCTATGGATGACAGATTTTGCAGCACTGCAGGAAGCCCTTGTGGATATTCCGGGCCAATGGAAAAACCTTAGATAGGAAACAGGAAGGTAGACCCTCTGAAAAGTCAGAGGCAGCCCTGTGCTCCCAGGGGTTTGCCTCATTTCTGACAGCTAATCCCAGAAGAACTGAACAAAGATATCTCTGAGCAGGACACTTGGATACGATGCTCATGCCATCTTGTGGACTGTAAAGAAGGTTGTTCTCTTAAAATCGAAGCAGAAGGAGGAACAGGGGACAGGTAGTGCAGAGACGATGGTAGGGGACTGGGTTCATCAGCTGAAAATATGGATTCATCAGGAGGGCTCTTTGTGTGGTGTGGTACAGGCCAGCAACTTCACAGAAGGCTCTGTTGTGTTTTGTATTTAGGTATTTTTTCTATCAAAGGACTAGATTCAGCCCAGGCCGCAGCAGTTTGCTCCTGGCTCGGGAATACAGAGATGTGGTTGAAATTGGTCAATAAAATTCTTAAACATGAAAGGGAAAGGAGAAGAGCTAGGAAACATGACAATGTCAAGCCATACAGTTATATCTAAAAGATGAGCAAGGCAATGATCCTGAGAATATTCAGAAGATTTTTTTAATCTAGCAGTTAATTGGAAAGATTCTCAGCCTGACTAACTATATATACTGATACCTGTGAACTAAGCTACTGCACTGCAGATGGTAATTTGTAACAGTAGTTTCATATTTGGAGTGCCTGTCATTGTGGTAGTCTGAATATGGGCGACTTGTCATGACATGCCAGTTACTGCTAAGATGTCTCTCGGGTAGGTGGATGTTCAAGAAGAAGGGGGTGGTGAATGAAAGGAAGAGACAGGAAAAGGAATATTGTGGGAGGGTCCTGCTTCAAGGTTGTATATGGTGACATTTTTGGACTCATGTGCAAACATGAGAAGTATATAATTCTTTATCCTATTTTTAAAATATAATCTAATTTTTAAATGTTTTTTATCATATTATGCAGGAACTTAAAGTTCAACATATCAATACTTGATGAAAAATACCTGTTCCTTATTATGCCTAAGATGTTTGAAATGTAGTGAAATAGTGAGATTAAGCTTCATAGCCTAAATCGTTTGATAATAACAATAAGCTTGTCTTCTGGATGGTTAACAACCTAAGTTTGCAGACCAAAATTAGAGAAAAAGGAGGGCTACAAGGAAAGCCAACATTTTGGCCCTAACCTTCTAAGGTCAATTAAGACTCAGGACATACGAGAACTTGTACTGTAACGTCATGTACCTCGGTAGTGTCCCAAATTTTCTGATCAAGAAGATTATGGGGCCAAAGAGGAAAGTGATCGATGACATAGAGTGTGCCTAAGGAGAGTCACATGGGGGAGAAAACACTCCCTCAGGCTTTCACAGAGAGCACATTGGCCAGGCAATGGCCGTGACTCATCCACATGGCTGCACTGACAAAGGTTCTACAATCTGAGGTACAGGATCTCAGGATAAATCCTGAGGGGATTTCACTGACCTTCTCAGACCAAAAAGCTACAACTCTTATTGCACAGGTCCTGCTTTACCTTGGTCTTATCCATCCAGTAGAAAAGTATGAAGACGAAATATAGGAAGTAAAGCCATGCTGTTAAGTTGAGCTGTGGGGGACTCAGGTCAATAATTTCTGACATTGCCAGTTAAACAGAAGACCCAATGCTATTATGGGCTACTGGACTCTTTTAGAATATCTTGCTGAGTTTACACACCTATAATATTCATTAACGGAACTTAGAAAAAATGGGGTATACCGATGAATGTCCATTTTGTATCTGTGTATTCAAAGTGGTTGGGATAGATATATAGTTGCATTCTCCTAATGAATAGAATGATTTGTTCTAATGGTGATTGTAAACAGGATCTCAAGTCCGCATCTTGTACAGCAATTAACCACTAAGAAGAATATATGCAGTGTGTTATTTGTTGATACTGTACTTCAGATTTGATTTGACACTGTCTCATTGCTGTTTATCAATAAAATTTTGGAAAAAAAATTCTTTAACATCTGGGGAATTTGTGTGGGCTTATTTGTCTCCTGGGGCAACATAGTGGGCTAGATGAGATAAAATTGAATCGTGATCTTCCTAAGCAAGGGGGTAGGCAGTGGTCACTACCCTAGAGCCCCTGTGTCGGGCTCAAATGGTAAAAGCTGAGTGCCCTCAAGTGTATCCTGGGGCCACAAGGTGGCAGTGTAGAGCTGAAAGTGCCCACATTTTTTACAGGCTGTGGTGGGCCTGTGGCTCTTGCAAAGGATTGAGATGAAGCTCTCCCTCCAGCAAAATATTGCTGAAATTCAGTGTACACACTCCAGCTTTCCTGCGGGGTCTGAAGCAGTCATGACTCTAGGGGTGGGCTGGAAAGCTCC